AGGAGTGGAGGAGTATTTTGAACATTTAATCAATGCTGCTTATCGTATCTATCAAGAGAAATTAATCGAGGAAAACGGGGATATTTATCCTTTGAGGTCAACAATTATCAGATTTGATGGATTTCGATTAAGTTATAATTGATATGGGAGAACCTTACTGGGAAGAGAAAGAGTCGGTAACTTAGAAATCTATACCAAAGAAATTCACCTCAATATTTTATTTGCTTATTACCTAACAGGAGTAAAAACTGATGTTCCTAATTTTGAGAAGCATTTTGGCTTAAGGAAATTAGTTAACACTATAGCTCACGAAATATCTCATTGTTTACTAGCAAATTTTAATCTTTTCTTTGGTTATGACCATGGCGAGGAACACAAAAAGTTAACAAAAGATGTAGAAATATTTTTGTGAACTTTGCCCGAAGTTCAAGAACTGGAAAAATTACAAAGATTCAGAAATTTAAAAAAATAATGTTAACAAGACCAACACCCCAACGGATAGAAGAATTAAAAACCCGAGGTTATACTCAAAAAGATATTGCCACTATCTATGGAGTAAGTGCCAGAATGGTGAGATATTGAAAAAAAGATGATGGTAAGCCAAAGCAGAAAAGAGGTCGTAAAGGAAAAATTGTTGAAAACATACCTTTGATGGTCTTATTTTATTGTCTTTTTGCTAAAGACAATAATTCGACCCAACAACAAATAGCTAACGCTATTTTTCAAAGAACAGGTCAAAAAGTAAGTCGTTTTTCTGTGTTACGAAAATTAAAGCAACTTGGTATTACTAGAAAGAAGTTAACTTATCATTACGTTGACCAATTGAAACACAGGGCGAGTATTGAAGAATTTAAAGGGTTAATTCCTTATTTGCCTCAATCGAAAATGCTTGCCTTAGATGAATGTTCTTTTCACCTCAACGAAGCACCACGTTATGGTTATGCTCATAGGAACCTGCGAGCTAATTCTTGAAGACCAGGTAGTAAGGGAAAAAATCATACTCTAATCTTGTGTATTCAGAACACTAACAATAACGGAGTGGTTCATTGAGAATTAATTGAAGGGGGAATGAAAACAAAAATTTTCACGAGTTCCTTACTAACCTCAAACTTTCCAGTAATGATAAACACCATCTTTTAATGGATAACTTACCAGTTCACAAAGCTAAAGATTCATGCATTAATTTAAAACTTACTCCTATCAAAGAACTATTGGCTAGTAAAAATATCAAGCCCGAATACTTACCCCCTTACACGCCTGAGATGAATCCTGCAGAACTTTGCTTTAATTTTATTCGTCAGCAAGTAGAAGAACAAAAACCAAGAACTTATGAAGAGTTAAAGTTTACTATTGCCAAAGCTAACATGATACTTAATCAAAAAGATTTAACTAAGAATTTTCGACATTGTTTTGCTTATGACTATGTTAAAAATCTTCGACAGAGGATGATTAGTGAAGAAAATACTCCCGAGGAAATTTGGAGGATTCTTGATTTAAAAAGAGTATCGAATTATAAAATTGAGTTATAGAAGCGGAAATTAATTTCGCACTTTGTAATAAATGTATTCGGCCGAGAAGTAAGCCAAAAAACTTTTTATACTTTTCTTGTTCCTCCTTGCTCGCATTTTTAAATTCAGAAGTAGCCATCATTCGAGCAAAAATGGAGAGAAATTGCTTATTGTAATTTTCGAATTCTTGTTTGGTAATTTTTGACATATACTAATAATTATTATATTTATTATTAGATATTATTCTTATTTAT